AAACACTGCTGATATTTTCTTGACTTGGGCAGAAAAAGAAAACATTGCTGAGTACTGTAGATCCTGGAATTATCGGAGAGGAGAGGATGAAGTTTGCTGTTGGTTGTTGCCAGAAAAAAATGAGGAGCTTTTAGAAAAACTTGGAGAAGATATTTTCATGCACCAAACGATGGAGGACCAGTCATTTAATGAAGCTGTATTTAGAAAACGTAAGTCTATTTTCAGCTCACCTGAACTAGTTACTTTCATAAAATTTAACAAGAGAAGTTTTTGGCTAATGAATAATATGTATATTATTAGGGCCCCGCTTGGCGGGTGCCCTATAATAATCAGTCTGTCCGTCCGTCTAGCTGTCCGTCCGTCCGTCCGTCCGAAATCTCTTGTCCGGAGCATATCTTCTCTCTCATTGGCCCAATGATGCAATCTGGCTCATACTTCACCCACAGAGTGTCTTTGGGTAATCTGTGTGAAGTGACCTTGAACCATGTTTCTTGGTCAAAGTTCAAGGTCATAGCAGAATTATATGAAAAACCTTGATCGGAGCATATCTTACCTCTCCTTGACCCAATCTGGCTCATACTTGACCCACAGAGTGCTTTTGGGTAACCGATGTGCAGTGATTTTGAACTATGTTTCTAGGTCAAAGGTCAAAGTTATAGCAGAATTACATGAAAAATCCTTGTCCGGAACAAATCTTCTCTCTCCTTGGCCCAATCTGGCTCATACTTCACCCACAGAGTGCCATTGGTAAACCGATGTGCAGTGACTTTGAACCATGTTTCTAGGTCAAAGGTCAAGGTCATAGGAGAATTACATGAAAAATGCTTGTCCGGAGCATATCTTCTCTCTCCTTGGCCCAATATGGCTCATACTTCACCCATGGAGTGCCTTTGGGTAACTGGTGTGCAGTGACTTTGAACCATGTTTCTAGGTCAAAGGTCAAGGTCAAAGCCGAATTATATGAAAAATTCTTGTCCAGAGCATATCTTATCTCTCCTTGGCCCAAACTGGCTCATACTTCACTCACAGAGTTCCTTTGGGTTACCGGTGTGCAGTGACCTTGGTCGAAGTTTCTAGGTCATGGTCAGAATTAGCCTCTCTGTTTTAAATCTTTGTTTTGTGCAAAATTTTTCCCCTTAATTCCAGTAAATTTATATAACTGGGGATACAAGATAACTTGGATATACATGTATATCTGTAAATTTGCCATGTCCGTGAAGTTGTACTAAATGACTTTTACTGTAGTACACAAATGTTCCTCTTCAAAATGAACCCTTTTAAACTACCTTACATTTTCATGTTCATTGTTGAAAGCGGGGCCCTTTGAGATGGCCACCATCTCAATGATATCTAGTTTGTCCGTGATTTCATCAATAACTTAACTTTCAGATCTTTTTATTTTCTTTTAATCCTTTACATTGATGTTTCAAGTCAAACACGATAAACACTCAGCTCACCTGAACCATTCATGTTTGAAGAATGGTTAGAGTCCTAGGCCTTTTGTCATCTGTAGACTGTACTCATGGGATCTCTTTTTTAGAATTTAATTAAACTTAGATGAAATCACTGTTGGGTAATTTGAGAAATGATACATTTAAGAATTTGCAAAACTTATGCATTTTTTAAAGACAGTTTATATGCAACTATTGATTCACGGTTTAATTAGTCAGAATGCAATGCTTGTCACATTTAAAACTTTGTCAAATAAGTATGCAATTCAGTTTGTGTTACATCAAATTTTAGCATGTTATTATGTTGCATGTATTGGCCTATGGTCATTGCTAGACAAACAGACCTATGTTTTAAGAAGAATAATGCTGAGTATTGTTTTATCAGTAAAGGTATCCTAATTTAATTAAGATAAAAATGTTAACCTTTCTTTTCTACTTTTATATTTAATTGCCGCACTGATAAGGGAAAAAAAAATCTCCATGATAGAAGGTTATTTTTATGATTGTTTATAATCATTTGTTTGACTCCGTCACAGCTTTGTAATGTTAGAGTTTTGTCATTATAGTTGGAATACCAATGCAGATTATCCTAAGGGGAGACAAATCAGTGACGAATTTCATTGAGAATTTAAAGAAAGGGAAGACAACCATGTACCACGCCTCTGGGATGATAATAGGGTGTGCTGGAAGTGGGAAAACAACATTGTTAGAGAGACTGAAGGGCATTGACTTGGAGAAAATAAAGAAAAATATCAGGTCAACTAGAGGAGTCGATATCCACACAGATGTGTTTGATGTGAAAGAAAGCATCCAAGGTATTTTTAGCTCACCTTAGCTGAAGGTTTAAGTGAGCTTTTCTGATCAAATTTGGTCCATCGTCCGTCTAGCTGTCTGTCCATCTGTAAACTTTTCACATTTTCGACTTCTCCGCAATAGCGACTCAGCCAATGTTAACCAAACTTGGTACTAAGCATCCTTAGGTGAAGAGAAATTTCAATTGTGAAATTGACGGGCCAAGTTACCATACAAGGGGAGATAATCAAGAAAAGACAAAATAGGGTGGGTCATTAAAAAATCTTCTTCTCAAGAACCACAATGCAAAAAAAGCTGAAACTTATGTGGAAGCACCACCTCCCCCCTCTACCCCTATTTGTCTGCTTGTAAAGTAGGGTGTTTAATAGCGATGAGGGTGTCCTCCTATCCACCTTTCCATCAGTCCGTCTATTACATTTTGGGGTATCCATCTCATATCTACAACTCCTCATTACCACTTAACCACTGAATAAAAATCTGTACCACAGGCACTTAATAAAACTAATGAAACTTTCATAGAATCTTTGTTTAATATATAGAGAAATTTTAAACCTTCTCTGAATGGACACAAGTTTCTGGTTTCTTAATGCAAAACAAAGAAACTACCATTATATTGGTGGTACCAGGCATCTCGTATTTGCAACTCCACCTGTACAACTTAATAAAGTCAAATGACAATTTCACATGATATTTATACCCCCGCAAACAAAGTTTTTTTGGGGGTATATAGGAATCACCTTGTCCGTCCGTCTGCCTGTCTGTTCAATCGTGACCGGTCCATATCATATCTTTCCACACTCTAAGTCATGATGAAACATTTTGGTAGGAAAAATTTCATAATTTGTTCTCCATCTTTCTTATGGATCTTGGTAGGTTCTCATTTCACACGGAGATTGCCCATGACCTAAGAGTATGTCATGACCTTGACCGGAAGTCATTTTGGGAAGTTCAAGGTCACTGGAAGAAAAATTTCATAATTCATGTTCGGTCCATATCTTTCTTATGGATAAACTTGGTAGGTTCTCATTTCAAACAAAGATTGCCCATGACCTAAGGGTGTGTCATGACCTTGACCCAAGGTCATTTGGGGAAGTCCAAGATCACTGGAAGAAAAATTTTATAATTTGTGTCCGGTACATATCTTTCTTATGGATAAACTTGGTAGGTTTTCATTTCACACAAAGATTGCCCATGACCTAAGACTGTGTCATAACCTTGACTTGAGATCATTTAGGTAAGTTCAAGGTTAATTAATGGAAGAAAAAATTCAAAATTTTGTGTCCAGTCCATATCTCTCTTATGGATAAACTTGGTAGGTTCTCATTTCACACAAAGATTGCCCATGACCTAAATGTGTGTCATGACCTTGACTCAAGGTCATTTTGGGAAGTTGAAGGTCACTGGAAGAAAAATTTCATAATTGTGTCTGGTACATATCTTTCTTATGGATAAACTTGGTAGGTTCTCATTTTACACAAAGATTGCCCATGACCCAAGGGTGTGTCATGACCTTGATCCAAGGTCATTAGGGAAAATTAATTGTCACTGAAAAAAGTAATAATTCCTGTTTGAAACATATCTTTATTTTGAAAAAACTTACTTCTGAAAAACCTAGCGGGGGTATTTTGTCCCGTTTGGACAGTTCTAGTTACTACATACTATCATTGCGTATCTCTTTCTTTATGTTAAGATTGGACAGATATTTGGTTTTTCAATAGTAAAACAGACATCACCATTATACTCATATGGAACCAGTGGATATCATTTTGTGAGCTAAATACTCTCAGTACCTCTAGATTTTATTAGGTCACCTGAGTAAACTCAGGCTAATGATGGCCATTTGTGCGGTTGCTAATTTTTTTTGGGCCAAAACTCGTCTTGACCAATCAGTGTCAAATTTTGCGATAACCTTTGAACATTTTCAGCTTCTTCTCTGCAACCACTGAATCAATTTCAACCAAATTTGCCACAAAGCATCTATGGGTGAAGGGGAACAAAAATTGTGAATTTCATGAACCCTGCCCCCCAGGGGCCTGAGGGGTAGGGCCAAAACCACTAAAATTACTGCAATCTTTAAAAATCTTCTTCTTTACTACTGGGCATCAAGCAATCAAACTGGTTGCATGATTGTAATCAGCAATGAGGCTTCTACCAAAATTGTGAAATTCATGGCCCGGGGGTCAGGGGTTCTAGTGCTAGGGCGGGGCTAAATAAGTAGGTAGTGAAAATGCATTATTTCTTTGAAAATCTTCTTCTCTGCTCCTGGGTATTAAATAAGCTAAGTGCCTAGTTATGTTGACAAGAATGCCTCTACCAATATTGTGAAATTTAAGGCCCCAGGATTAGGGGTTCTGGTATTAGGGGGGGGGGCTCTATTGATTATATAGTGAAAACACATGAATTCTTTGAAAATCTTCTCGGCACCTGGGTATAAAATAAACTAAGTGCAAAGTTATAATGAGCAAGAGAGCCTCTACCAAAATTGTGAATTTTATGGCCCCAGGGTCAAGGGTTCTAGTGCTGGGGGGGGGGGGGGGTGCAGATTGGATTATGTAGTTAAAATACACGAATTCTTTCAAAATCTTCTTCTGTGCTCCTGGGTATTAAATAAACTAACTAAGTGCGTAGTTATGATGAACAAGAGTGCCTCAACCAAAATTGTGAATTTTATGACCCCAGGGACAGGAGTTCTGGTGTTAGGGTAGGGCTCTATTGATTATGTAATGAAAATACAGCAATTCTTTGAAAATCTTCTTCATTGCTACTGGGTATTAAATAAACTAAGTGCATAATTCTGATGTGCAAGAGTGCCTCTACCAAAATTATGAATTTTTTGGCCCCAGGGTCAGAGGTTTTGGTGTTAGGGCGGGGCTCTATAGATTATGTAGTGAAATTCATTAAAACTTTAAAAATTTTCTTTTCTGCTCTAGGGTATTAAGCAGATGAACTACCTTTATAGTTATTATCTACAAGGGCCCTAATCTTCCAGAATTGTGAATTTCAAGGCCCCAGGGTCAGGGGTAATAGGATGCATACTACAGGGGGGAGGGGTTCACTTATATACTGAAAATGAATGAATGATTTGAAATCTGCTCCTTGGTATTAATCAAATATCAAGGCCTAAGGGTCAGGGGTTCATGTGTAGTAGGGGCACTACTGATTATTGCTGAATAAAATTGATTAGTTGAAATGCATTTTTTGTTCCCCTACCTTGTGTATGGGTATTGAGTAAACAAACTTAGCAACTGCTAAGTGTATTATTATGATGAATTAAATTTAATCACTGGAAAGTTGTTGCATAATGCTCAGGTGACCTATAAGGCCCATGGGCCTCTTGTTAGCTTTTCTGAGCCAAAGGCTCAAAGAGCTAATGCTATGGCCATTTGTGCGGTGTGCGTTAACTTTTTAGAATATGGGCCAAAACTCAAGAACCCCTTGACCAATCAGTGTCAAATTTTTCAGGATATCCTTGGCCCAAGGGCTACCCTTTATATTAAAATAAGGGTTGGGACCCTTAAACAAGGGGAGATAATCAGGAAAACAAAACCAAAAGTACTGGTTGCTAAAAAATCTTCTCCATAACCACTAGGCAGATTTTCACCAAACTTACATACAAGGATCAGGATATGCTGAAGATTAAAAATTGTTCAAGGCATGACCCTGGGGCAAAGGGAATGGTCTCAAGGTCACTTAAAAGTTTACCTAAATTTACAAATAATAAAAAAGTATATATTTTGCTTACTATTAAGACTAGGATCATAAAATCTTGTAAGTTGATGCACTTCAGGACTTCACATCATGTTAACTCAAAAGTAGGTCACGGTCACTTACTTTTTAAATTTTTTAAGCATTTGTTTTCAAATTAATTTGAAGGCATATTTCGGGCACTTTAAGGCCTATGATCATCGAACTTTGTCAGTTGCTGCATGCGTCCTTGAACAACGTCAACCAAAAAGTAAGTCACCATGGCCTACTTTTTGAAATTTATGACTAATTCTTTTTATAACATTTAATCCAATTATTTCAGACACTGAGAGGTTTAGAATCATTAAATCTTGTAAATTGATGCATCTTTGGACCTTAAAACATGTTTATGAAAAAGTAGGTCACTGTGACCTACTTTTTGAATTTTGAAGGCACTTGTTTTTGAATTGTTTAAAAGGCATATTTTGATTACCTTCAAACCTAGTATCATCAAACTTGATGTATATTGTGATTTTGAAAAATTTCGACCAAAATATAGGTCATGGTGACCTAGTTGCAACATTTTATGGTTATATTTTAGTATCTTATGTATTTATTGGCTTAGAATAATCAATTTTTCTGGTTGATGCATCTTGAGTTTTCGGAGAATGGTGTCCAAAAAGAAGGTCACTGTGACCTACTTTTGACATTTTATGGCTTTATTTAAGTATCTACAGTACTAAATGGCTTAGAATCATCAAACTTTGTAAGCTGATGCATCTTGGGTTTTCGGAGAATGATGTCCAAAAAGTAGGTCACTGTGACCTACTTTTGACATTTTATGGCTTTATTTAAGTATCTTAAGTATTTATCAGCTTAGAATCATCAAAACTTTGTGAGTTGGTGCGTCTTAGGTTTTTGGAGAGTGACGACCCAAAAATAGGTCATGGTGACCTACTTTTAACATTTTATAGCTTTATTTAAGTATATTTGGTCTTTATTGGCTCAGAATTATCAAACTTTGTAAGTTGATTCATCTTGGGTTTTCGGAGAATGATGTCCAAAAAGTAGGTCATGGTGACGTATTTTTTGACATTTTATGGCTTTATTTAAGTATCTATGATACTAACTGGTTTAATTTTGTTTGCTGATGCATCTTTGTTTGCTGATTTTCAAGGAATGTAGACAAAAAAGTAGGTCACGGTGATCTACTTTTTAAACATCTCAAATACTAATTGGCTTAGAATCTTCAATCTTTGTTTATTAATGCATCTTGAGTCCTCAAAAAACTTCAATCTTAATATAGGTCATTGTGATGTACCGGTATTTATGGTTTTTATAGCTTTATAATTAAAAAAAATTCAGTCCTAATTGACTAAGAATCATTAAACTTTGTCAGTTGATGCAACTTGGGTCTTAGGATACTTAGGGTTAGAGGCTTCAAATAGAAGTGATAGATTGTACAATTTATCAGAAGAGCGATTCAAGGCCCTTGGGCCTCTTGTTTCTAGAGTTGTAGATTTATTTAAAGTAGAATAAATGTCTATTTGCATAAAGTATAGGGGCAGCAAAGTGAGACGGTGTTAAATGTGCATGAATTTTTATTTACAGCAAATTCTTCAAGCCAAAAACAACGCTTCAAACTTAAACTTGATAAAATAGATCTGCACCAGAGTGTTCCTGAATCTCATTCAAAAAATGCAGCCGATGATGAGGGAATGCAGGAAAAGATGGAACCAGAAGATGATGAGGGCAGTATGACTGAAGCATCAAGCAGTGGACAGATATCACATGATGATATCGACATTAACCCTACCTCATCCCCTGAACCACAGGGGGCCACATCACCAGAAAATGTAGCAGAAGTTATGAAGGAAAGAAAAGATATTCGTCATAGTCCAGAAATTTCTGGAAATTTACAGATAGGTGCAGATGATATTTCAGAAGATCCAGATAAAAAAATAACCATGACTGACTTTGCAGGACAGTGTTCATATTATGCCTCACACCAGATTTTTTTGAGTCCCCGGGCGTTCTTCATTCTGGTGCTGAATATGGAGAAGAAGTTTGATGATAAGGTTGGAGAAGAAGTGTGTTGTCAGGAAGGCTCTGTTTATGGGGGATGGACACACAGAGGTAGTATTTTAATTATTACATGTATGACCTAAACGCAACACCGCATCAGATCAAAATTTATTGCATTGATAAATGTTCTTGACATATTAAAAAGGAAATAATTAAATTTTTCATATTTTCAGAAACTATCTGCCCCATTGAGTTTTCAACCTTTAGAATTTAGAAACTTTTATCAAGTTCTATTGCTATCTATTTTGGTCCTGCGTCTTCAATCGTATGTAAACATTTGAACATTTTTTAGCTTCTCCTCTGAAACCACTGGACTAATTTTAACCAAATTTGGTATACAGGATCTATTCGTGAAGGAAAACAAAAATTGTGAATTTTATGGTCCCCGCCACCCTGGGGCCTGAGGGGTTGGGCAAAAACCACCAAAATTATTGCAATATTTAAAAATCTCGTTTACTCCTGGACATCAAGCAGGCAAACTGTTAGCATGAATGTAATGAGCATTGAGTCCTCTACCAAAATTGTGAAATTCATGGTCACAGGGTCAGGGGTTCTGGTGTTAGGGCGGGCGTTAGTATTGATTAATAATTTAGTGAAAATGCATTATTTCTTTGAAAATTTTCTCCTCCTCTTCTGGGTCTTAAATAAACTAAGCACATAGTTATGATGAGCAAGAGTGCCTCTTCCAAAATCAAAAATTTTATGGCCCAGGGTCAGGGATTCAGGTGTTAGGGTGGGGGTCTATTGATTAAATAGTGAACATGCATTGTTTCTTTGAAAATTTTCTTTGCTTCTTGGTATTAAATAAACTAAGTTCATAATTATGATAACCAAGTGTGCAACTTCATAAATTGTGAATTTTATGGCCCAAGGATCAAGGGTTCTGGTATTAGAGTGGGGCACTATTGATCATATAGTAAAAATGCATTTATTAATTCTATGAAAATCTTTTCCTTTCCTCCTGGGTTTTATGCCAAAAATATTTATGATGAAGAAAGGTGCATATAGTAAAATGGTTATTTTTTTATGCCCCCTGGGTTGGGGGGTGCATAGTCTGAAAATAAAATAATGCTTTGAAACCTGCTCCTTAGTATAACTGTATTAATTAATTAATTAATCAATTAATGTATTTAATGTAATTAATGTATTAATTAATTAATTAATTAACCAATTTATGATAAAATTTGGAAATATGTGACCCTAGGGTTGTGGTTTCTTTGAGGTGAAGTGCACAACTGGTTATAAAGTGAAAGTGTATTTTCTCTTTGTTACTCTGATCTGCCTCTGGGTATTAAGCAAATAGAGTAAGCATTCTAGGTTTATAATTTTGATAAGCAATGGCGCCTCTTTCAAAATTGAGAATTGTGACAGTGAATTTCATGGCCTATGCGGTAAAACGCTTACCAATTTTAATTGTTTGAAAGTTGTTACACAATACTCAGGTGACCTATAAGGCCCGTGGGCCTGTTGTATCCTAAGGAGATTGATTTTTTTTATTTGTTTGCCCTTCTGTGCAGCTTAATGAAGGCAATAAGTTTGTTATATGTACGCCCCGCCTTGTAAATGGCTTTAACATATAGAGTTTCTCATTTCCTGAAATCTATCTCAAAGAAAACTCTAACAGTTGAATATGTCTTTGTTTTTCAGATTATCTAGAATTTTGGATGAAGTCCATTCATCAATATGGCAGTGATAAGGCTCCTGTCATCCTGGTTGGTACACATAGTGAGAACAAAACAGAAAAGGTATCATTGTTAAATACTGTTATTTATTGTGTACTCAGATATATTACTTTGTCATGGTTTTTCTAATTTGTAAATATTCAATGTACTGTAGAAGTACTTTTTTCCACGTGGTATTCATTTACGCTATGTATGCGGTCACAGGTTTTTTCGCGGAAATTTGTCCGTGCATACTTATGATAAATGTAAGGCATGTAGTGTCTACCCGTGGATTAATCAAAATAGAGATTCCGCGGAATATGACCTCGTGGAAAAAAGTATGTTTACCGTAAAAATAACAGGTACACATATGTTTCATAAACTCTATGGGACCAAAACATTGACAATCATTGTATGATTATGAATATTATTTTACTATGAATGATTTGTTAGCACAAAATAAGATAAGGAATTCGTTTTCGTTAGGAAAAAGAATTATTTTTCCGAGAAGTATGGAAGACTCTTTACATGAAGAAGAAGTCTTTGAAAAAACATATTGATGTGAAACGGCGATTTGCGGTCGGATTCCATGACAATGAAAGCATTGAAAAACTAAAGCTGTCCATCGCTGATGTCGTGTGCAAGCTTGATCACTGGGGTGAAGAGCTTCCACAGTCATGGGCTATGTTTGAAACATTCTTTCAGGAAAAGAAATTTCGCAAAATTTTGAGCAGGGTTGAACTTCAGTCTTTCAATGAAACATTGCCAGAGGGAATAAAGCTCCATACTATTGAAGATATGGATGCCATGCTGCAGTTCTTCCACGACATCAGAGAAATTATACACTTCAATCACCAGTTCCTCAATGGAGTTATTATCCTCGATGTTCAATGGTTTGCAGATGCATTTAGAAATGTCATTACAGATAAAAACCATGCCGAAGAAGATTTATTTGATTTTGCCTCAGAATGGGACAAATTCAATGAAACTGGAGAATTAGATGAAGCACTACTATGTGCCATATGGAGAATGAACAACAATGGTTACCTTGAGCACAAAGAGGATATCATGATGTACATGGAGAAGTTAGGACTCTTAGCTAAAATGAGCGACAAAACATGGTATGTTCCGTGTATGAACAGGATGCAATTTCCAGTGGACTGCTTCTCATCATACCCTGCCTCCTCCATCCTTTGCTACACGTTTGATATTCTTCCTGTGGAAATTTTCCATCGCCTTGTAGCAACATGCATGCAGATTCCGTGGGAGATTTTTTCAGATGAAGAAAGAGGATGCATTTCCAACAAAGTCAGATTTCCAGGTTGCATTCAAATGCAAATCTACTGGTTTTTGTGACAGTAAAGAAAGCGCAGTAATAAGTGAGTCTAAGTTTATCAAAGAAACTTTTCAGTGTCCATCCTGTCCGGCAAACAAAAAGCACCGTATCATCACAGAAGATATTAAAAAATTTTGGGAACAGGTAATTCCTCTGAAATACATGATACTACATCAATACAGAAAACATATATTTGGCAAATGTAAACCAATTTATCAACTCTGATAATTTCTTTTGAATGATTATATGACATTTAGATCCTTTTAAGTCATAGCAACATTCAAATTTATATGTAACATTTAATTAAAAATATGTTTTATTTCTTAGTTATTATGCGCCCGGATCGATAGATCCCGAGCGTATATTGTTTTTGTCCTGTCTGTTTGTCTGTTTGTCTGCTTATCTGTTTGTCTGTTTGTCTGTTGTCAACTTTAACCTTGGCCATAACTTTTGAACAATAAGAGATAGAGACTTCATATTTGGTATGCATACTCCACTAATAAAGTCCTTTCAGGTCAATGACCTTGTGACCTTGACTGTGACCTATATGCTAAAAATAGCTTTTTCCACTGTTTGTCATAACTTTTTTACCATAGGAGAGGGACTTCATATTTGGTATGCATACTCCACTAGTAAATCCCTTTCAGTTGACAACAAGGTCAATGATCTTGTGACCTTGACTGTGACCAATATGCTAAAAAAAGCTTTTTACACTTTTGGCCATAACTTTTGAACCATAGGAGATAGGATCTCCATATTTGGGATGCATACTCCACTGATTAAATTCTTTCAAATGACACCATGGTCAATGACCTTGTGACCTTGACTGTGACCTATATTCTAAAAATAGCTTTTTTACACTTTTTGCCATAACTTTTGAACCATAGGAGATAGGAACTTCATATTTGGGATGCATACTCCACTGATTAAGTTCTTTCAAATGACACCATGGTCAATGACCTTGACTGTGACCTATATGCTAAAAATAGCTTTTTACACTTTTGGCCATAACTTTTAAACCATAGGAGATAGGGACTTCGTATTTGGGATGCATACTCCACTGATTAAGTTCTTTCAAATGACACCACGGTCAATGACTTTGTGACCTTGACTGTGACCAATATGCTAAAAGTAGATTTTTTGAACTTTATTGCCGCCGGGCGCATAGTGTTTCACAAACACATCTTGTTTAATATGCTTCATTTAAAATCGCTTAGTAACATTAAGTAAATGAGGTGAAATCTTGTTTCAGACCAAACCAAGTAATACCAGCACTTTGACAGCTTCTGGACAAGATCTTGGCGGCCGCACTAGATTTGCCAAACTTGGAATGGCAATAAACGATGTGTTAAATCAGATATACAGAGATATACTAGAGATGGAGGTCCCCCCTTTCCTAATTTACAACAAGGTGAAAGCATCATCAATTTATAAAAGATTGCGCCCCGAGCAGGAATACCTCTTACAAAATCCTCAACAATCAGGATATAAGACTTTTGATATTTCATTGACATACACACTGATCAGAAACATTTGTTCAAAGATCCCGAAACCGACAAAAGGAAAATGGGGAGAGGAGCCTGCAGCAGGAGAAGTGACCGTGGGTGATGATATCGAGAGAATTAGGTCAATCCGGAACAGTTTGACTGCACATGTGAGCTCAGCCTCCACCCCTCAGACAGAATTCAATGACACCTGGTCGACAATGTCAGACATCTGCAAAAGACTTGAAACCTTCACTGGAAAAAAATACTTGGATAAGCTTGAAAATATTCAAAAACTACACATAAAGGAGGAAGATGAAGATACTTTTAAAAAAATGAAAGAAATGTGGGAGAAAATCAAATTTAATATACAAGAATTCGAATCCATGTTCAAACCTTACATAGATGCTACAAATTAAGATAACCAATCTTTGAATGCGGAGAGAAATGTTTGAATCATAACGTACAAACTGGTCGACATTTTCAGATATCTGCCAAAATTTGAAAATATCACTGTAAGCGGGTTACAGTGAAACCAATACTGTCGGATTTTTAAGAAACAAAGCTTGAAAGCAAAGATGCTACAAATTAGGGGTATTACTCGTAAATCGTTTAACTACGTGAATGTGTATATCGTTAAAGTAGTCTGAATTCATTATCGAATACTGCAGTGATTTTTTTTTGTAGGATCTGATATGTAAACCTGAGATTCATCATAATATTCTTATCCCAATTCTGGGGCAACTGATTACAATGAATTTATCGTTTTTTAACGATGAAAACATAATGAAAATAGATTACATTTAGCTTTTATGATATTAAGGATAAAATTAACTTTTGAACAAGTTAGCATAGATTTGATTTAGCGCATTTCAGATTATTCTTAAATATGTATACATGTGCAAGACATATAGCATTGTACTTATGTAAGCAGAAGTTTCTTCCCTGCAAAAGCACTGAAACGAATACACAGCCAAATGTAAATATATACATTTACAGTGCTACAATATCATGAATGGAGGTCAAAATTCAAAGAGAGGCACATAAAAGTCACATTTCAAAATATATCAGAATGCAAAAGAATGTATTTTCAAAACTGTGTACTCAATTAGTGTGGTATGTCAATTACACGTGTAACTGTAGAAGTGTAGAACATCTTATGATGCATTAGAGTACGTATGTACTCATTTTAAAATCTTACATTTTCATTTGAATGCGAATATTTCAATTTATTGTTCACAAGATTTTGAAATCTAGAATGTAAACTACTGCAATACAGTAATTATAGTTTTTAGCTCACCTGAGCCGAAGACTCAAGTGAGCTTTTCTGATCACATTTTGTCCGTCGACCGTCTGTCCGTCGGTCTGTCCGTCCATCCATAAACTTTTCATATTTTCGACTTCTTCTCAAGAACCACTGGGCCAATTTTGACCAAACTTGGTACAAAGCATCCTTGGGTAAAGGAAAATATAATTTGTTAAAGAAATGGGCCAAGTCCTGTCACAAGGGGATATAATCAAGAAAAGCCAAAAATAGGGTGGGGTCATTGAAAAATCTTCTTCTCAAGAACCACTGGGCCAGAAAAGCTGAAATTTATGTGGAAGCATCCTGGGGTAGTGTAGATTCTAAATTGTTCAATTCATGACCCCCGGGGAAGGGCGGGGCCACTATGGGGAATCAAAGTTTTACATAGAAATATATAGGTAGAATCTATGAATATCTTCTTCTACAGAACCACTGGGCCAGAAAAGCTGAAACATATGTGGAAGCATCCTGGGGTAGTGTAGATTCTAAATTGTTCAAATCATGACCCCCCCCCCCCCCCAGGGGGAAGGGTGGGGCCACTATGGGGAATCAAAGTTTTACATAGAAATATATAGGAAAAATCTTTGAAAATCTTCTTCTCAAGAACTACTGGGCCAGAAAAGCTGGAAGTTATTTGAAAGCATCCTGGGGTAGTGTAGATTTTAAATTGATCAGATCATGACCCCCGGGGGAAGGGAGGGGCCACTATGGGGAATCAAAGTTTTACATAGAAATATATAGTAAAAAGAAAATCTTCTTCTCAAGAACCACTGATCCAGAAAAGTTGAAACTTATGTGGAAGCATCCTGGGGTAGTGTAGATTCTAAATTGTTCAAATCATGACCCCCAGGGGAAGGGCGGGGCCACAATGGTGAATCAAAGTTTTACATAGAAAAATATATAGGAAAAATCTTTGAAAATCTTCTTCCAAAGAACCACTGGGCCAGAAAAGCTGAAACTTATGTGAAGGAACCTGGGGTAGTATAGATTTCAAAATGTCTAAATTATGATCAGTGAGGTAGGGTGGGGATGCATTATGTATAACAAGAAAGAAATCTGGTAAAGAACAGAATGGTCAAAGCTTTTCAGGTGAGCGATGTGGCCCATGGGCCTCTTTTCCTTTATGTGTTGTATTGCCTACGCAATGTTCATTTTTTTTGCTCCGCCATGAGTATGGCCGGGGCAAATAGTGTTTGTCATGTTCGTCTTCCGTCTGTCCTTCCGTCACACTTTACATATGGCTCTGTTTAATGCTCAGTTATAAAGAAATTAACCAAGATAAAATTATTTTCATCAAACTTCAAATGCTGATAGATATCGATTGGCACTATGCACCTGCATCAACATTATTTTACGTTGACATTTACTTTGACCCTCAACTCACTTTTCTTATTTTAGTGTTTAGTTCAGTATTTAACATACCATTCCAGATGGTGTTATCAAACTTCACATGCTGATACATACTGATGAGAGCTATTCAGTTGCATCAATATTTTTTTTTACCTTGACCTGACTTTTCCTGAACTAGTGAGATACTTCATCTGCTGATACATACTGATGTTAGCAATTCAACAACTTTTTTTTACCTTGACCTTCTTTTTTACCTTGACCTCACTTTTATAAAATTGTGTTAAAGTAAATTTTGAAAAAAAACCATTCATAATATTTATTTCAACTTCATATGTTTATGCATACTGATGAGATGTACTCAACTGCATATTCATTTTGACCTTGACCTTTCTTGACCTCACTTTTCCTAAATTAGTGTCATACTTCTTATAGTGATACATACCTATGTAAGCAAATCAACTGCATCAACATTTTTGACTTTCAACTTTCATTTGACATTGACCTCACTTTTATCAAAGGTCAGTTTTTAGCTCACCTGAGCTGAAAGCTCAAGTGAGCTTTTCTGATCACCCGGTGTCCGTCGTCCGTCCGTCCGTCCGTCCGTCTGTAAACTTTTCACATTTTCAACTTCTTCTCAAGAACCACTGGGCCAATTTTAACCAAACTTGGTACAAAGCATCCTTGGGTGAAAGGAAATTTAAATTGTTAAAATCAAGGGCCAAGACCCCTTCCAAGGGGAGATAATCAAGAAAATACGAAAATATGGTGGGGTCATTAAAAAATCTTCTTCTCAAGAACCACTGGGCCAGAAAAGCTGAAATTTATGTGGAAGCATCCTGGGGTAGTGTAGATATTAAATTGTTAATATCATGACCCCCGTGGGTAGGACATGGCTGCAATAGGGAATCCAAGTTTTACATAGAAATATATAGAACAAATAATTAAAAATCTTCTTCTCAAGAACCACTGGATCAGAAAAGCTTAAACTTATGTGGAAGCATCCTTGGGTAGTGTAGATATTAAATTGTAAAAATCATGACCCCCGGGGGTAGGGCGGGACCACAATAGGGAATCCAAGTTTTACATAGAAATATATAGAACAAATCTTTAAAAATCTTCTTCTCAAGAACCACTGGGCCAGGAAAGCTGAAACTTATGTGGGAGCATCCTCTGGTAGTGTAGATATTAAATTGTAAAAATAATGACCCCCGGGGGTAGGACGGGGCCACAATAGGGAATCCAAGTTTTACATAGAAATATATAGAACAAATCTTTAAAAATCTTCTTCTCAAGAACCACTTGACCAGGAGAGCTGAAACTTATGTGGGAGCATCCTTGGGTAGTGTAGATATTAAATTGTTAAAATCATGACCCCCGGGGGTAGGGCGGGGCCACAATAGGGAATCCAAGTTTTACATAGAAATATATAGAACAAATCTTTAAAAATCTTCTTCTCAAGAACCACTGGGTCAGGAGAGCTGAAACTTATGTGGAAGCATCCTTGGGTAGTGTAGATATTAAGTTGTAAAAATCTTGACCCCCGGGGGTAGGGCGGGGCCACAATAGGGAATCCAAGTTTTACATAGAAATATATAGAACAAATCTTTAAAAATCTTCTTCTCAAGAACTACTGGGCCAGGAAAGCTAAAACTTTTGTGGAAGCATCCTGGGGTAGTGTACATATTAAATTTTTAATATGACCCCCGGGGGTAGGGCATGGCTACAATAGGGAATCCAAGTTTTACATAGAAATATATAGAACAAATCTTTAAAAATCTTCTTCTCAAGAACCACTGGGTCAGGAGAGCTGAAACATATGTGGGAGCATCCTTTGGTAGTGTAAATATTAAATTGTAAAAATCATGACCCCCGGGGGTAGGGCGGGGCCACAGTAGGGTTTTACATAAAAATATATAGAACAAATCTTTAAAAGTCTCCTTCTCAAGAACCACTGGATCAGGAAAGCTGAAATTTATGTGGAAGCATCCTGGGGTAGTGTAGATATTAAACTGTAAAAATTATGACCCCCAAGGGTAGGGCGGGGCCACAATAGGGAATCCAAGTTTTACATAGAAATATATAGAACAAATCTTTAAAAATCTTCTTTTCAAGAACCACTGGGCCAGGAAAGCTGAAACTTATGTGGAAGCATCCTTGGGTAGTGTAGATATTAAATTGTAAAAATCATGACCCCCGGGGGTAGGGCGGGACCACAATAGGGAATCCAAGTTTTACATAGAAATATATAGAACAAATCTTTAAAAATCTTCTTCTCAAGAACCACTTGGCCAGGAAAGCTGAAACATATGTGGGAGCATCCTTTGGTAGTGTAGATATTAAATTGCTAAAATCATGACCCTCGGGCGTAGGGCGGGGCCACAATGGGGAATCCAAGTTTTACATAAAAATATATATAGAACAAATCTTTTAAAAAGATCTGCATCACCCAAGTTACTCAGGTGAGCAATGTGGCCCATGGGCCTCTTGTTAAGGCAAAAAATCATAATATTTTTTTTTCAACTTTAATGCTGATACATACTATTGAGAGCTTTTCAATTCCTTCAAAATTTGTTTGATCTTGGCCTCACTTTTCGGAAATTGGTGTCAAACTTCATACACTGATACATTATGATGTAAGAAATTCAACTGCATCACTTTTCAAAATATTTTGATCAAATTTTATACACTAATACACATTTCCATGCTGCATTATTAATAAATCCTCGGCGGGGCATTCATGTTCTATGGACAGATTTCTTGTTTATTTAAGGAAGATGATTTTTTCCATGATGTGTATGATTTTTCCATTATGTGTTCCGCCGAAACATGGCTGAAAATTGCCGAGTCGGCGTTAAACTATATGAATATACAACCTGTTATGTGTAATGACAGGCCCGTGTCATTCTAAAGTTGTTTTGTGGAGTAATGGAACCAACTATATTCCAAAACCTGCACAATCACTTTTGCTATAACTCCAACAAAAATCACTACGCTGAACTATAGATTAATACTATATTTCATGGTATCAAAGTAAGAAC